ATAACCAATAGCTTCATAAGGCCGGGATGCTATTGTTTGGCTGACACTGAATCATAAAGCAGGTATAAAAAGACCAAGGTACCTATCTCATACTGGGTCGACACACCTGGATATATTAATCGATCTGATTTTTTAATATTAATCTGTTAATGCTTTGGTGTATAGATCCATGTGAGATCAAAGGGAAATTTTTAGCTACCCCGTGGTTGGGAAGATCCGGTTGGCGTCAAACGTGTGTGCAATATATGTCAAGACGATAACGTCATATGATGCTCCTTACCCCACCCACACACCTCTGGCGACGCTAGGTCGGGTAACACCCGGTGCAGCACCTAGTGGTGTCACTCCCCCAACTAAAAAAGTATCGGTTTACACATATATATATATATATATATATATATATATATATATATATATATATATATATATATATATATATATATATATATATATATATATATATATATATAGCCGGCACGGCTAGTATAAAATAAAAAGTAGAAACCTAAGCTTTTATCGCTCTATAGATCTGTTCAATATATTACAACGTAAATTGCTACATTATTTATCTTATATATATATATATATATTTATTTATAAATATATATATATATATATATATATATATATATATATATATATATATATATATATATATATATATATATATATATATATATATATATATATATATATATATAAACTTTATGGTGTTTACCTCATATTTATCAGTTCTGGCATCCTCCAAAGGAATTTCTTTTCCAATAAACTTTTCTTCATCTGGATGTCCTTCTTCTTGCACCATAAAAACCTGCCCAAAAACACCGTTGTTCACAATGCGCTTTTGACTCCATTTATTGGGAAACTCTGGAGCCAGAGAAGAAATTGCTGAAACAAAAAACATTTGAATTTGACATCAAACTTATTTTGTACATGCATGCTATTATTTTTTATTAATTTTGATTTCGCTAAAACAACGTCTTCTAGACTAGTAGATTTGTTGTCCTTCGCGTTAATTATAACAATAGTGAAGGTGGTCAATGTAAATCGTATGTGACATCATGCAGACTATGGTAGTTTTAGAAATAAACTAAATTTGGAATACTATTTTAAATTGCTATGCTTCTTTACAATGTTTTATTAGTTACATCTAACTATTTGTATAGGCTTAGATAAATGTAAATATGTGTATAAGCTAAGAATTAGGTATTAATGGGGAATCCGTTTTGGTTTATAGCATACCACTAGGTTTGGAATATATTTTTATATAGATTTAAGTTTTAGTTTAAGTATTAATTTATATTTAGGAATAGCCACATGCCTAGGTATTTCCTTGGTTTTAAATGTATGAGATAATTTAATCTAAATATTTAGTTTCGATTTATCTTAACATAAAACATTTTGATTTGATTTAGCGATCCATTTTGTAGTTATGGGTAAATTTATATTTTAATTTAGGGAAATTGAATGAATTGGTATATAGACCTACTGGTTTTAAGCTATCGTTTATGTTTTGTTTTTTTTTCTTTTTTAAATAAAATAATCTTAATTGTGGTGTAGATAAATGGTTAGAATGTGTTGTTGTTGATTATTGTAGTAATGACTTTATTTTACATATTGCAAAATATGAAAAACACACACTTCTTCATAGAACGACATAAATTTTTGCAAATATAGTTAATTCTACACTTAGGATTATAAAACACAAATTTTAAAAATATGTTTTTATTTTTACAGCAACTTTGTAATTTTTACTCACTTTCACTTGCGTCTTTATCCATTAATATAAATAACTTATGCTCCTTCTATCTATAATTTAAAAAAGGTAATTGTTTAAGAATGTAACATTGTTACACAGTTATTAATACTATTATTTATACAACTAAGGTCTGAAAAATGTTTACTATGAATGTTACAGTTTTTAAAATAGTTTAGTTATTCCATATAATTGATATCACATAACAGTAAAGATGGCGTGATCTGCTTAACTCGAAAGCTAGAACCTGATCTGCTGCCCAAACCTTACGGAAACATTGTTGCCCGAAAATGCTTGCGTCTTAACTGTTCCAGCTTTCCTAGCAAATGAGCTAAACTTGAACAGGTAATGACCGTATACAAAAAAACCCTCACAAATGATACAATCAAAGATACGCAGAGTAATCAAACTAAACTTTAATAGAGCCATTCATTCAAAATGATGTTAAGAACCTTCATTTGTATAATATTGTGTAGAGTGTGCTTACATAAGCAAATCCTTCGATTTAACACTTGATTGTTAACAATTAAATTGATAATACAATGTTTTCTTTATTCATAGTGTTGAAATACGTTTCTTAGTGGAAGTTTTCTTTGGAGCTATTATAATAATTTATAAATACACACACGTCTACAGATTGAAAACAACCATTTATTTTAGTAAGAGATACTCTAAAATATTTTCCCCAATTTCATACTAGTCGGCAAAGCTCATGGTTTAAAAAATTCGAAAAAAGTCTCTAGTTCAAACCCTCTGGCAGATAAGGCTCGTCCCTCCCAACACTAAAAATTAGGAACGAAGAAGAAGATACGAGCGCAGTTGTACAATTTTAGTTTGTAACATGTGGCTATATCAGACCAAGCCACTTTACGTTTCACCCGTACAGCTGCCCTAGCATTTCACCTTTTTATAAAGTGATAAATGTCACGCATTGACATGTAGACATGTCATGAGTGAGTGCCTCACCTAGTAAAGCATGCGTGTCATCGGTACCTAGCCAAGTTGGTTTCCTGGGTTGAGCCCAGTACTCGTCTCTGGCGCCGCGTAGAGGCCTGGCTGCGGTTTTACCGAAGACGCTCCTATAAAGGAGACAAATTTCGCCAGAGAAACATACATGTATAATTTTGCCAGATTATACCGGTATGTAAAGTAAGTCAAGTTCCCCTCCAAGCCTGACTTTCTATGGTGTAAGTGAAGTAGAGTTTACCTGTTTCTGTGACCTCAGCAAATGAAGGGATAAAGTGGTCAGCACTATGTCCAGTCACCTAACCCATCAGAACTGGGTGGACTCATGGAGGTCCCCTGACTTGAACACGGATTTGAACTCGAGTCTTATGGGTTAGCAGTCTCGCTCTCTACCACTAGGTCACTCCGTCATTTGAGACGACGTATGAGTACTCAGTTTTAAAAATTTAATATAAACCTAAGTGTAGTCTACTTGTGTTGGATATGTTTAGATGTATTTAATACGCGTCGCCAAGTAAAGGCGTGTAAGTGTAAGCGCATATGCAGGCTTTTTAAACAACATCGCATTAAGAACAATGAATAGTTGGTTTGCAGGGAAATGTGCGTGCTCCTCAGTTTGAAACTTAGCGCAGTTCGCCCTAAAGGTCTGCACATGCTTTTTCTCACAAGTTTTATTTTTTTTTATCTTTCTGTTATGACTGCAATCTCGAGTTTAGCTGATAGCTTACAAAACAAAAAAGTATATCATCTCCCGTGGACTTAGTGTCTTAACTTTCCGTTTTACTTTAGAGTAAATAAGAAAAAGTATAATAAACTTGCACGTTTTTGTTTACATATTTCACTGCAGCTTTATATTTCTTAAATTAAATTTTTTGGCTTGTATGAGGGTAGTTACTTTACATGCATAAACTGAAAATAAGTAAAATTGGAACCAAATAGTGTGTAGCTTTAATAGTCTACACTGTTTCTATGGCGATATTTAGTTGTGTTAATATTGAACAGTATTAGCTTTTGTCACTATATATTTAATTTAAGTGTTGTAAGAGCATAAAAAAGTTTTAAAACTAAGATAATTTGGAACTGATCGGTTTAAGCTACTATTTTAAGCTACGATAACCGCAAAAATTAAAGCAATATTTGTGTCCTGTATTGTCTGTCGCAATTCATTACACGTTACATATTATTAAATTTGCTATGTAGTTAAGGAAGCAATGCAAGCTACACACGGATCTTATGGTGGATTATAAAGCTAGTAGGCATTCAAAGCAATTGCATTGATCAGGACCAGGGCTTTATTCAAATTACTTTGTATTATGTTAGTGTAGTTGCCTACTTTACGATGTCATTTGTTGAAGGTGTACAATTTTTAAACATTTTACAAATCGAAATCTCAATGCGTTGAATAAACTATGAATAAGCACGTAAAGTTATTTGTTTTATTAGATAACTATATTACGTCTTGATTATAACCAACCATATGAGAGCTATAAAACATTACAAATGTAGCAACAATAACCGTATCAACTTTAGTACATGATTTTTTTATTAAGCTAACATATTGCATTTTACAATATTGAAATAATCCCTCGTTAAAAAATGTTGACTTTATAAATTTTACATTCCTTTTTTTTTTAAATTGCATTTTTTAAAAACTTACTTCGTATGTGTTGGATTCGCGGAAATATTTCTCGGTTGATTTATAACTTGCAAAAGTATATAAAATTTTGACAGCTGAATTAATAATCCAACAGGAATGCAAATTCTGTAAAGCATATTGATTTTATATTGCTTATGATTTCATATAATGATACTTTTAAAAAGAAAAAAACAAGATTAACAATTAATACACATTATGTTTTAAATTTATTGACCTTATTTGTTACCTCTTTAAATATATATATATATATATATATATATATATATATATATATATATATATATATATATATATATATTTTTTTTTATATATATATATATATATATATATATATATATATATATATATATATATATATATATATATATATATATATATATATATATATATATATATATATATATATATATATATATATATATATATATCAAACTAATATATTTATACATCAAGTATCTATTATTAATGACAATTAATTTGCTATTTTTTTAGTGTTTTGCCTACCTCAGCGTCCTTATGATATCTAAGGTACTCTGTAATTATGTTCACAAAACCGTGTGTAGCAAATTGCTAAATAAAAGATTAAAAAGTACATAAAATGTATAATTTAGTATGGATAAATTAAAGAGCTTTGTGCTAAAAGTATTCAAATCATATTTTTGTGAAAAAAAAACAAGCAATAATCGTTATTCCTCTAGGTTAACTTTATCATATGTACAACTACTAATACTTAAGGCTAGACACAATGGATGGAAAAAATATTTTTATGTATCATGTCTTAAATAAATTCATATGTTAATAGTTGTTACACTATAGACAAAATAGTAAATAGTATATAGTCGCCGATGGAAACCACGAAAAGTTGTGAAAACTAACACTTTTTTAAACCTCTGTAGAATTGTTTCCAATAGAGATGTTTGTTTTCTAATCTGATAAAAGATTTGGATTTCTCAAATACATTTATACTTTACTACGATTTTTCATTATGGTAGCTTCTTTTTAATTGTTTATTCAAATTTGTGTGTATAACAATGAACAAAATTAAGGGGTGGTGCTACATATATATATATCAATATTTCCTAAAGTATTGCAGTAAACATTATGTACAATCGTAGTATTGTACATGGTATAATGTCTTAGCGATTTTAATTTTGAATTTTGTGTAAAAATGTAAAGTTGCGAAAACTTGAAAAGAAGGATTGAAAATGGTACTGTACGCTTCCTATTACATGATATAATAAAATTCCTGTTTTATGTGACTAATATTTGACTAATAAAATACATGTTGATTTTAGCTGTAATTTTAGGATCGTTTTTTTTTTTATAAGCAGAAATGACGTATACAAGAGGAAATGCGTTAATTACTTGCATGTATTAACTATCATATTCACCCGCTCTATATAATGTACACTTTTTAAGAAGATAAAAAAAACTAAAAGAACTATAAGTAATTTAATATTAATTGAACTGGACACATGGTAAAGAACGAACTGTTCTTTATCAGCATAGTGTGCAGTGGCGTAGCGAGGTCGGGTGTCACCCGGTGCGGCACTTAATGGTGTCACCCCCCAGAGGCGTAGCGACCCTTCCCGGGGACAAACTTTCAAGTTTTCGATTTGCACCCCCCCTCAAACTTTTGATTTGCACCCCCCCCCCCTCAAACTTTCGATTTGCTACCCCCCCCCCTCAAGTTTTTCTCTATATATTTTGCTATTTTTTGCCTTGGTGTCACCCCTCCCCCCTAAATGGTGTCACCCGGTGCGGTCCGCACCCCCCGCCTCCCCCCCCCCTTCGCTACGCCCCTGATAGTGTGTAATTCCTACATATTATGAACTTTTAATTGTTCAATATTTTATAATAAAAAAAAAATCGGAATTAAATGTCTAATAACGTATAAATTAGTAAAATTGGAAATGTGACACTTGATTACCTGTGCAAAAATTTCACTAAAGCTACCACCTTCCATAATTAAGGCTATGCAGTCTTGAATCAAAGCAAGTGAAAAGTCAGGAGAAGCCGTATCAAGTAGAGATTCCTTATTCAAATAGTCTAGGGTAATTCCTAACAAAAAAATAGAGATGAAATTTTCTATTGCATAACCAATATATTCTAGTTACGTTTTAGTTCAAAATGTCCATAGTAAAATCTCAATCATAAGCAAAATAAACACTTAGCAGAAACAAGCCTTAATGCACTAAGCTAAATATATCTTCATTAGAATTGTCGACACTGATACAAAACACTCTTTATTAATAATAAATTCTCATTAAAATCGTAAATTTATCAATGAAAAAGACATACAGTATCGTATATTTTTAGGACAAATATAAGAAAACTTGTTTACTTGCATATTGACGAGCGACAAGTTCTGAGAAAAAATCTTCTGTTTTTTCTTGGTAATTATATATCACTGTCTGGCAAATCATTTTTAAAGTCTTTTGACAAATGTAGAAATGAAAGGCGTCAATGTGTTCCATGCTATACAATTCTCCCATAATGACTTCAACAGATTTTTGAATGTCTTGATAATTTGGTATCTTAAAAATAGACGAATTTTTATTTAATGTGCGCATTGGTCCCGATTCCAGAGTATGCAAGTTAAGACAAACGTAGCTATTATATATATATATATATATATATATATATATATATATATATATATATATATATATATATGTTTGTCAAACGAAATAGTTTGAATCACTAGGTCTGAATTCTTAATATAAACAGAAAATGAAACTAGTGCTGTAGTTGCATCATAGAACTAGTCATATTTCAATACTTTTCAAAACTTATACAGGTGAATTATATAGTAATTCAAGTCAAGAAGTCTAACCTCATTTGAATAAACACTCTTGAAAACAGTCGTCAAGTAACACATTAGAGACCTGTGTTAATTTCAGAAAGAGTCAAACTATTCGGTTTTTTTAAACGGCTACAACTTTGAATAGTTTATCAAGAAATACTTTTAGACAATATGGAAATAATCTTTGCAAAAATTAAAAGTAAAATTATCAGATTTACAAATGAAATAAGCAACATATTTTCAAAACGTACCCTCTGCAATTATTTATTGTGATTTTCCCGTCATCATTTTCAGTTGAAAAAAAGAGCTCCAAATCATCTTGATTTTGTGTGTTATTGTATTCTTGAGGCGTACAAAACATTTGTGAATAATACGCTCAGAGACATATATATATATATATATATATATATATATATATATATATATATATAGAGAGAGAGAGAGAGAGAGAGAGATTAATATAGATTTAGGTGTAGGTGTAAGTGTAGGTGTGGGTGTAAATGTATGTGCAGGTGTAGGTGTAGGTGTAACTTTAGGTTTAGATATGTTATGTGTTGTTGTAGTTGAAGGTGTAGGTGCAGGTGTAGCTGTAGGGTTATATATAAATACATATGTATACTGTATGATACTTACGTTGGCAGCATAAACGACACAAAAGGCATATCTGCTTTGCTAATATCAATGTGTTCAGTTTTTCTTTAAAGATGCTTAGGATAAGAAATAATGTTTGAATGTGGCCTTTCTTGAACGCTTGCAAAGTTACTTCAAAAATAGATATACATCTTTTATAAGTAAATGACTTTGTAACGGGGAGCGCATTATATGAGTTTGGAATGAATGTACTCAAATCAGATAAGCTATTTGATTGAAATTCTTCGAAAGTAGATCCACTTTTTAATATTAAATTAACAATTTGGAAATATCCTTTTTTTGAAGCTATAGATATGGCTTGCCATCCGTTTTTTCTGTTGAAATTAAAAGCAGCTCCATATTTTAGGAGTACTTCTACTACTTTATATTGGCCATAAATGCATCCAATATCTAATGAAGTGTATCCTGTTTTTGATTCATGATTTACATTAGCTTGGTGTTGAATCAGTAGTTCAACAATTTTATAATAACCATATTGAGAGGCTATTAATAATGCAGTCCAACCTTCTTTGTGAATATGATTTGATTCAGCTCCATTTTGTAAAAGTAGTTCTACTGTTTCATAATGTCCGTTCCGTGTAGCAACCATTATAGAGTTAAGCAAATCTTTCGAACACCTATTTATATCTGCTCCTTTGTCTAACAGTGACTTTACAATTGTGGTATGTCCGTTGGTCGCTGCAATCATTAATGGGTCTAATCCTTCTTTATTTTTGCCATTAAAATCAGCTCCATTTTCAAGAAGCAAATGCACAACTTTTTCACATCCGTTATCGCAAGCAACTACTAAAGATTGAAACATGCTAGTATCTAGGCTAGAAGAATAAACCCCGCTCTTAAGTAGCAGTGCAACAATGTTACTGTGCCCATACTGCGATGCAATCAATAATACATTCCAAGCGTGATTGTTTTCATTAATATATTCAGATATTCGAATACTTCTAAGCAGCAAATCAACAACTTTATAATGTCCATTCTGGGCAGCTATAACCAATGCGTCCCATCCATCATCATGAATACGCCTAAAGTCAGCTCCATGTTTTAGTAGTAACTCTACAATATTATCGTAGCCTTTTTCAGCTGCTAACATCAACGCATCCCATCCAACTAAGTTCACGTAATTTACCTCCGCTCTATGCTTCAAAAGTAACTCAACTATTTTGTCATGTCCATTTCTGCATGCGTACATTAATGAGCTGTTTTTATCCGCAGAGATGTGATTACAATTTGCACCTGCTTCAAGTAGAAGCTTTGCGACATTATAATGTCCCATTACAGATGCTATCATTAGGGCATCTACATTATTTGTATTCAGAAAATTTACATCCGCCCCCTTTTTCAGTAGAAGTTCTACAGTTTCAGTGTCTCTGTTTTGAGACGCACACATTAATGCATTAGGTCCATTTGCCCTGACTCGCGTTAAATCGACTCCACGATTTAGCAACATCCCTACGATTTTGTGATGTCCATGAAGACATGCAAGCATCATTGCATTATATCCTTGCTCTGTTTCGTTTGTTAAATCTGCACCTTTTTCTATTAATAAATCAGCTATTTTGTTATGTCCGTTTAGAGATGCATACATTAATGCATCGAATCCCATTGATGTTGAAGCATTTAGTTCTGCACCTTCATCAATTAACATCTCTACAACTTCATAATAACCATTTTGAGCGGCAATCATTAATACATTAAATCCTTCTTCTGTCTTTGTTTTTAAATCTATACCCTTATCGATAAACATTTTTACAATTTCCTTGTGTCCATTGTAAGCAGCAATCCTCAACGAATCAAACCAAGTTTTCTGTGTTTGTTTTTGTAGTAGTAAATCTACAATATGTTCATAGCCTTTTGCAGATGCAAACATCAACGCATCCCAACCATCTTCATTCACACAGTTTACATCAGCTCCATGCTTCAAAAGTAACTCTACTATCTTGTCATGTCCATTTCTAGATGCAAAGATTAGTGAAGGGTTTTTGTCTGTTGATGTGTGTTTACAATTTACAACTTTATTTAGTAGAAGCTCTACGACTTCATAATATCCGTTTTGAGATGCGATGTTAAGGGCATCTACATAATTTGTGTTATGCAGATTACAATCAGTATAATTTGTTAGTAGAAGCTCTACAATTTTATGGTGTCCTTTTAGAGCCGCGCACATAAGTGCATTATGTCCGTTTTTGTTAAACTTATTTAAATCGCAATTACCCATTTTAAGTAGTAATTCTACAGTATCAAAATGATTATTTAGACATGCTAACATTAAAGCATTGAAGCCATCTCTGGATATTTGATCTGAATCAACTTTTGATTTAAGTAGTAAATTTACTATTTTTGTCTGACCGTTGTATGCGGCAATAAGCAGCGGATTATAACCGTTTAAAATTCTAAAATTTAATAAAACCCTCCGTTGTAATGCTGACTTAAAGTATCTCTTGTGACGATTTAGTCTCACAAAATTTAAAGCATCCCAACCTGTTGTAATCTGCATATTAAAATCAGAACATTTAGCAGCTTTCAATACTGTGTTATCGTGTTCACATTTAGATTCAGGATTGATCAAAGTATGTTTTTCGAGCAGCAAATCAACAACTTTATAATGTCCATTCTGGGCAGCTATAACCAATGCGTCCCATCCATCATCATGAATACACCTTAAGTCAGCTCCATGTTTTAGTAATAACTCTACAACATTATCGTAGCCTTTTTCTGCTGCTAACATCAACGCATCCCACCCATCTACGTTAACACAGTTTACATCAACTCCATGTTTCAAAAGTAACTTTACTATTTTGTCATGTCCATTTTTGCATGCGTACATTAATGAGTTATTTTTGTCTGCAGAAATGTGATAACAGTTTGCACCTGCTTTAAGTAGAAGCTTTGCAACATTATAATGTCCCATTACAGATGCTATCATTAGGGCATCTACATCATGTGTGTTCAGAAAATTTACATCCGCCCCCTTATTCAGTAGAAGTTCAACAATTTTAGTGTTTCCTTTTCGGGATGCACACATTAATGCATTGAAGTCTTTTTTGTTAATACTTGTAAAATGTGATCCATTATTTATTAGAAGGTGTACAATGTTATAATGTTCATACAAGCATGCAATCGTCAGTGCATCAAAACCATCTTCGTTTAAGCAATTTAAATCAACTTCATATTTTATTAATAAATTAACTATATTCTCGTGTCCATTTATAGTAGCAAATATTAATGCGTTATTTCCATTAGGAGTTCGGGAATTTAAATTTGCTCCATTATCAATAAGTAACTTTACAATATTGTAATGGCCACCTAGACTTGCACACATTAGAGCATTTAAACCACATTTAGTTTCATGTTTTAAATCAGCTCCTTTTCTTACAAGCATTGCTACATTATTCTGATTTCCTAAGAATGCATTTACAATCAATTCGTTAAAATCATTTGAATCATACTTTAAACTTGTCCCTTGGTTCTGTATCATTCCAAGTATAATACATGTACCATCTAATAGTTTAGTACTTTCTGGTATTTTAATAGAAGAGGAATCAAACAGATTTTCTAGTAACATTATTGGAGTATCATTATTAGAGCTACTAATTGATGGCAGAACTCCAGTTTCTGATAGAAAGTTTATATTGGCTACAACATTAAGCAGACATTCAACTACTTTATGATGCCCTTCAACTAAAGCTAATACCAGTGCGAAGTAACCATCATCATGCACACGTGTTAGAGTCGCTCCATTTTGAAGTAGTAACTTAACAATATTATCGTATCCTTTTTTAGATGCTAACATCAATGCGTCCAAACCTTCATCATTCATGCAGTTAAGATCAGCTCCACTTTTTAAAAGTTTCGCAATTATTTTGTAATAACCATTACTTGATGCAAACATTAATGCATTATTTCCATCAGAAGAAATGTGATTACAATCTGCACCTTCTTCTAGTAAAAGCTTTACGACATTATAATGTCCGTTTAAAGATGCAAACATTAGGGCATCTACATTATTTTTATTCATAAAATTTACATCCACCCCGTGTTGTATAAGGAGATGTACAGTTTCAGTGTGTCCTTTTTGAGATGCACAAATTAACGCATTTTGTCCAATTGAGTTAGTGCGTTTAAACTCGACACCACGTTTCAACAGCATCTCTACAATTGTATAATGTCCATTTAGACATGCAATCATCATCGCATCTGTTCCATCTATGGCTTTGGAGTTTAAATCTACTCCGTTTTCTAAAAGAAATTGTACAATTTTACAATTTCCTCCTTCACAGGCACGCATTAGAGCATTACATTCATCTTGAGATACTATGTTTATATCTGCTCCGCTTTGAGTCAATAGCTTTACAATGCTAAAATGCCCATAGTAAGCAGCAATCATTAAAGCAGTCACTCCATCTACATTAAACAAATTTAAATCTGCCTTGAATTTTATTAACAATTTTACAATATTATAACTACCGCTTTCGGATGCGATCATTAGGGCATTCATTCCTGACACATTTGTGACTTTGAAATCTGCGCCATTTTCTAACAGTAATTTAACAATTCTTGTGTGGCCGTGAGTTGTGGCATCTATTAATGCACTGTAACTATCTGTTGTCATCTCGTTTACATCAGTTCCACCTTTAATTAATAATTTTGCCGTTTTATAATATCCTTTATTGCAAGCAAAAATTAAACCTTCTTGTTTTCTGTGTATTAAATAATCTGAATCTACACAGCTTTTTAATAATATATGTATCGTTTTGAAATGTCCGAAATCAAAAGCTATTTTCAATGCGTCAAATCCATTATCGGTGCGGCAATTTAAACTTGCGCCTTTCGTAATGAGTAGCTCCACAATTCTATGGTGCCCTTTCTTGGAAGCAATTATTAAAGTATCCCATTTATATTCGTTAACATGTGTTAAATCTGCACCGTTGTTTAGTAGTAATTCAACAACCTTATCATGTCCGTTGTCCGCAGCAATCATTAAGCTAGTATAACCATTTTTCATTGTGTGCGTTAAATTTGATCCGCTCTCAATAAGAAGCTTAGAGATCGCAAAGTGGCCATTCTGAGATGCCAACATCAAAGCATCGAATCCTTGTTTATTAAAGTGGTTTACATTAGCACCATTTTTTATCAATAATTCTACTATTCCAATATGTCCATTTAGAGCTGCTATCATCAGTGCATTTAATCCGTCTGCTGATGTTAGATTAACGTCTACTTTGTGTTCAAGAAATGTCTTGACAATTCCAGTATGTCCATATTCAGACGCAATCATCAATAAACTAACTCCATCTTTTCTTACTCGATGGTAATCAACTCCACTTTTAATTAATAGCTCTACAATTTTAAGTTTGCCGTACTTAGTAGCTGTCTTCAATAAACCGAATGTTTTGGTAACAGAATTTAAAGGTATCCCGCGGTTGAATAGCAGCCTGAAATCATCGTATCGTCCGTATTTGCGAAAAATTGTCAATGCTTTAAAACCGTTTGAACCTCCAATAAACGTTAGCTGTAAATCAACTAACATGTCGAATTCGCTAACAAATGCGAACATTAATGCCTTAAGTTCGGTGTTAAAAATTGATATAATAGTTGCATCATTATCAATTAGTATTTGAAGAACTTTATAATGCTCTTTTCGACTTGCAAATACCATCACATCGAAATTATTTCTTGTTACCCGAATCAATCTTGATCCATATTTTAATAGTAAATAAATTATTTCATCATGACGCGCTCGAACCGTAAAAAGCAATGCAGGGAATACCTCCGCTCTTGTGATATTAGGATCTATTCGTCTACTTTTGAGTATTATGACCACAATTTTATTTTTCACGAAAAGAGTTAAAATGATATTTTTTTTCGAATCCATCTTCCTGAGCACTTGTCAAGTTTGAAATAACCGTGCAAGGTTTGTACACAAGCAACGAAAAGCAAGAATCATAGAAAAAATCCAACTTTCTTCCCTAGAGCTAAATCTCCTCTTTACTAAATATTTTTTAAAATTCTACTTTAAATTATGTAACATTATTAACGTATACGTAGTTTGAAATTTAACGTTGCTTCTGCAAATGCTGAGGAAAGAAAAAAATTAAAAAATTAAAGAACACAATGCATAATTTATGTTTTTATTTGATGTTCTGATCGTAACAACTATGGAGAGAGTAATTTAAAAAAATAATATTATGTTTTTTAATAATATTCAAAACCATCTTTAATTTAATTACTGCCAATTACGATTTAAATTTAACAACATAATATATGTGCGTGTGAACTGTTGTTTCTGCATTGTTATGTTTGACAATTTTACACTTATACCCAACAGCTGCTAAGATTTGTTTTTCCTGATTCAAATGTATTAAAATATAATGTAAATAAAATTTGTTCCTTTCTTTTTCAATACCACAAACTCGTAAAAGCACTTAGACTTATATTACAGAGATTACAGATATAGATGGATAGATTTTAATTTTTTAAGACATCATTCATACAAATATAATTATAAATACCTAATTAAACCGCTTGATTATATAAATGACTAGAGTGCCCTTTCCACGCACGTTGCCGCGTGGATAGAAGAAAGTCTGGCGAATTATATAAGAAGAGTTTCATTAATGTGTTACTAGCCCTATATTCTCATACGTCTAACCTTGTATCAAAAACTGAATTATTCAAATGTAAACAATGCCTGCGCTTAGATCTTATTTATCGGGACACCGGTTTACTTAACGCATGAAAGTCCTGAGTTGATCACTCATTGTATTAGTGAGGTAGGATACTTCGGTGACCGCCCAGGTGTCAGGGACGTAGAGGGGCGCTCTCGGAAGCGGTGACCAGAAAGAAGCGCAACGGAAAAAAGCGCAACGGAAGAAAGCGCAAAACAAAAAGTGCAACGGAAAAAAGCGCAAACAGAAAAAAGCGCAAACAGAAAAAAGCGCACACAGAAAAAAGCGCAAACAGAAAAAAGCGCAAACAGAAAAATGCGCAACCAGAAAAAACACAACGAAAAATGTGCAAAAGAGAAATTTAGCACAAAGATCTATATCGACCAGATGACACATTTATACATGACTGTAACGGGCTGCTGTGAGAGTGTCGTGTTTGATCACGTGATCTACTACCATTTAAAGCGTATCACTATCATGTGCATTCCCCTCACCACGATACAGGCGATAATCGCTTTACACAATGCCTATTATTTTCTTGGTCAATAATTATTCAACTACTATTCTCGTGTAAATAAACATAAAACTATCGACATTACACGAAGTATCTCTCACATTCTCCCTAGTCCGAACTACCTAGATTGCATAACATAACAACCCGTTCCGATGGCAAAACTTCACTCTCTTTCATCCGCGTCATCAAACATGCATTCGTCATATCTCTCGCAACAACATTCATTCGCACCAAACTAACAATTATGTATTTAATATTATTTCACATCATGACGCACCTACCTACCTACCTACTACCCACCCACCCACCTACGCACTTACCCAGCTACCCACCTACCTACCTACCCACTTACCCACCTACCCACCAAAAAAGTATAGGCGAAGTTCGTTAATTTCGTAAACTGTACTAGACTTTTTTTTAATGAAAATTCATTGACATCATTGACATATGTTACATATATGTTACATTTTGCGACAACCTTAATTAGTGCGTTGTGCTTGTATGAAAACTCACTCCGAACTAACTCAATTACATGCTATTTATTTTAACATTACACGGTAAGCGTCACCCAACTGTTGTGATGTGAGGACAGGGTCAACAATAAACCAGCACGAAAGTAAGAAAGAGACATAGACTGCGTATTAGAGAATAGACCCTCTAACTTTCCTATCCCCCCATTTATCATACCCTACCTAACCTATATATTTCCTGCGCTATATGTCACTTCCCTCCCAATCGTTCCTATTCTACAGAATTGTGTGTACTATTTGTTTACATTCTTTAATCCCAATATATCTAAAATAGACTATTGTTTGAAGGGTAATGAAAACATGTAAACAAAAGGGGCGCTACTCTAAATCTATGCGATTACTTATATGTAACAATCCTAACCCCAACCAAAACATGTACTGAACAGCATAATGGGCTGCATGTAGCCAGAGTTTCTTCAAGGCATCTCTTTTATCGCCCCCCCCCCCCCCCGCCGAACGAAATGGAATTTATAAACATACACTTTTACTAGTGTCCGCCCCCTCCCCCCCCCCGAAAAATGTTGAGTCCCCCCTCCCCCTCGGAGAAAAAAGTCTGGAAGAAACACTGCATGTAGCCTATATAACAGAAGAGCTATGGTTGTTAATATCATTTTGCATTCTTCCGGTAAACATTTCAGTAAAAAACCTTTAAAAACCTTCCATAACCTTTTTATAAAGAAACAAAGAGAGTTGAAGTTTTATAATAACATCAGGCTTTGACTTACAACTACTTCAATGGCATCTACATTGTTAAACTGATTAACTATGTAATGCAGGGCTCAACAGGATCAATGAACTAAGCTTACGCCAAACCAGTTTGAAATTTCGAGTCTTGGAACACTGTTACTAAGCTAGCAAAATGGAAATGTGCATAATCTATATCATCTACACAAACACCCAACCACCTACCTAACTACCCACCCACACATCTACCCACATACCCACCTAACAACCTACCCACCTACTTACCCACCTACCCATATTTATATATATGTATATATGTTATAACTGTGTCTATGTTTCCCGCAACTATGAAGTGAGAGGGTCTACACTTCCATTATATTCTGTCTAGCCATTCAGTAGTTCATCCCAAAGCACGACGACATCAAGGTATACAAATGATTCGACAGGATGACATTAATTTTACTATTTATTGCATTACAAAGGACGACTTGAACGAACAATACTAAGACTGGACAACATTACGACATCACTCTAACACAACAAGAACAAGTGTACTTTTTAACTTCTTTCCCCGACAACAACGGACCTACTCTAAAACGCCACATTCTTGCGAAGCGCGTAACTATTCAATGCGTCATTAACTAAGGTAGGTGGGTAGGCAGGTAGGCAGGTAGGTAGGTAGGTAGGCAGGCAGGCAGGTAGGCAGGCAGGCAGGTAGGTAGGTAGGTAGGTAGGTAGGTAGGCAGCTATGCAGGTGGGCAGGTAGGTAGGTAGGCAGGCAGGCAGGTAGGTTGGTCGGTAGGTAGATAGGAGCGTCGTAATGAAATAATAGTAAATACATCACTGTTATGATGTGTGTTTTATCAGTTTTTTTGTTGCGAATGAATGTTTTTGCAAGAAATATGACGAATGCATGTTTGATGACGCGGATGAAAGAGACTGAAGTTTTGCCATCGGAACGGGAATAATTATTGAACAAGAAAATAACAGGCATTGTGTAAAGTGATTATCGCCTGTATCGTGGTGATGGGAATGCACATGGTAGTGGTATGCTTTAAATGGTAGTAGATCACGTGATCAAACACGACACTCTCATAGCAGCCCTAACAGTCATGTATAAATGTGTCATCTAGTCCATATGGTCTTTGTGCTAAATTTCTCTTTTGCACATTTTTCGTTGTGTTTTTTCTGGTTGCGCATTTTTCTGTTTGCGCTTTCTTCTGTTTGCGTTTTTTTCCGTCTGCGCTTTTTTCTGTGTGCGCTTTTTCTGTTTGCGCTTTTTTCCGTTTGCGCTTTTTCTGTTTGTGCTTTTTTCTGTGTGCGCTTTTTTCTGTTTGCGCTTTCTTCCGTTTGCGCTTTTTTTCTGTTTGCGCTTTTTTCCGTTTGCGCTTTTTTCTGTCTGCGCTTTTTTCTGTTTGCGCTTTTTTCTGTTTGCGCTTTTTTCTGTTTTCGCTTTTTTCTGTTTGCGCTTTTTTCTCTTTGCCCTTTTTTTCGTGTGCGCTTTTTTCCGTTGCGCTTTTTGTTTTGCGTTTTTTTCCGTTGCACTTTTTTCCGTTGCGCATCTTTCTGGTTTAGGGTTTACACTACCGAAGTGGCCCCACGTACGGCCCTGGCTACTTAAAACTAACGTAGGAGCCATATTGCTTACAGGATAACCCAGGGCTCCAAATGGCACCCTGCGCGTGGCGCCGGCGGACGCGCTTAATTCATTTTAACGAACCACTATCACACCCATTTTATTTATTGTCTATCGTAATTTTTAAAACGACTAAGGCGCCATGGGGTCATAAACCCCCTGGACAAAAACCCCCTGGACATAAACCCCAGCGACATGAACCCTCTGAACATAAACCCCCCGCGATATAAACCCCCTGGGCGTCCCCCCTCCCCCCATTGAGTTTTATATAATTAGCACATGGGTGAAGACATGAAGCCAATGCAACGTGAAATTACATTTGCCGTTATTGGTTGCCTAATTCAGTTTTTACGAATTAGATATTCTTTTGGCTAAGATGGGAAAAAGCATCTTTTTAACCACACGGTGATGACCTATATCTAAGGTTTTGTCGGTACCCGATCTTTGATCAAATACAACCAAGGTCACTCATTGACTATCTAATAGTATGCTTTTATG